CTAAGCCATCCACAGTATGTTCGCAGGCTCGGCTTGTGTGCGAGGAAACATGAGCAGAGTGACATATTCAGAGTCCCGGGCTGAGCGGCGCAGGTCGCCGGATAAAGCTGCGGAGGAGACGGAGCTCCGTGATTTTGGGCGCAACATCTCCGGAGGGGAACATGTGAGTGGGGAATGGGCCGGAGGAGACAGGATTACTGCTCTACACCGCGGACCGACTCCGGAGGAGCCCGGGACAGGTAACGGAAGCGCGCAAGATTGGCTTAGCCGTTAGTTATGCATGCATCGGTTCTTTTATCGCCTAGAATTGGCGATGCAGCGGAGGCGAATTTGCAAGGGGCACTTCAGTGGGGATTCAGAGTTAATTATTGACGTCAATCATACGTGTCGTACTTAAGAACGGAACTGTCCTGCATAGGCGTAATTAGTACACGGTATCAGTCCACGTGACCGCAGCGCACATTTATTCCTGCGTGGGACACGTGCAATAATGATAATTGACAAATGCAAATGCAAATGCAATAGCCGACTCGACAGCCCGCAGCGTTGTCTGTGATGCCTTCAAAGTGTGCATGCCAATTAATCCACGTTGCATGAACGGACATTAAATCAGAATTTGCCGCGTGCACTTGTTTTGACTTGATGTTTTATCAATCGTCTGCACGTTGCTTTTTTAAAAAGATGAACGAAAATCATGTTGGATATTTTTAATGCTAAAAAGAAAAGTTGTTGAAACGCTGGTTTGATGCAAAAAAACAAAAACATTTGGAATGATAAAGTCTGATTTCCCGACGTGAACCTGGCAGGGGCATGCAATTCATTTTAAACTTTGCAGTTTTATCAAAAAAAAAAAAATGGAATGTTTACACGAGAAACAAACTTTAAATTGTATGGAAACACAACCCAGCAAACGAAGTGCGAAGGCATACGGAGCATTTATATTCCTACTAAGTACGACTTGAAGTCCACCATTGCTAAACGCGCGCATGTCCTTCACAGGGGAGACACTTGCGCCCTGTGACGCACCCGCGGGGATCTTTTCATTTTTGCGCAACTCGGGGACGATCTGGCCAAAGATGAACGCCATCGTGTTTAACAAGCTGAGCGGCCAGGTTCTGTTTGAGGACAAGGCCAACGAGGTGGAGAGGAGCAGCAGAAATTACTTAGAAGTCATGGATGGACAACACCCGGACCTTCTCTCCAGCAACCAGGCCATCATGGACAACCAGGCCATCCGACACAGACGGAACGGGTAAGTCAAGCTCCAAGGTCGATCGGGAGCGGATGAAAACCACTTGCACCCTGAGTTCACTTCGACCACATTTCGAGCGCAGAGCGATTGCAGACGAATTCGGTGTTTGACTTGTGCGCCCCCCGCAAACAAACAAAAAAAGAAACAGTGACATGATGGGGAAATGAAGCTCAGGTGAGACGTACTCATTCCATGGCCTGAACCATGAATATATTCGCTTTACTTTTGGAATCAAGTCGTGGTCTCGTGCTTCTGCGTGTGGCTGTGCGCAATTAGGCGCAATTAAGCCAGCGCATCCACATGGTCGAGTTGTAAAGCAGGCTTGATTCAAATCGGACGACCGTCATACAGTATTTCCAAAATGTAGCATAACTTATTAAGGAGTAGCTGAATGTTTTTTGCCGGTGTTGTTCATCTCGTTAATGCCGGGGTAATAACTAGGTCAGCCTTATTCGGTAGCCGTCTCCTACATTTCTCCATCTGCTTCCAATAAATACATTTGCCCTTCAACTTTCTGTGTGGTCTAGTCCATCACACAACGACCATGTGTTGGTTTTCCAAGTATTTTATTTATTTTCTTGTGACAGGGAACAGGTGTAAGAAAAGATGGTTTATTGAATTTTGGGGGTTGTTGTTTTTCTTAATTGAGCACATAAGAGTGAGGTGGGGGGCAGTGACCTTAAATGGAAACCTTCAGTCACAGAGTGATATGAGTTTGGGTGCTTGTCAGGTGTCTGTTTAAGTGGAACTTTCATTCGAGATGTAAAAAAATGTGAGTATGTGTGTGTGTCGGTGTGCGAGCAGGGCCGTTGTTTAAAACCAATGTTGAGAACAGGGAGTGAAATGTACTTTTAAGATGTTCATTCCAATCTAGATTACAAGGAAAATATTTGGAGAACACCAACCTCGGGATGAGGTTAGACTAAAATGTGACGTGCAGTGCGTGGAAGCTTTTAAGGGAGATAAAAAGGAAGGGCTCCGAGTCCTGCACCATACTGACATCTGCAGGTTTCTGAAATCCAAAAGTTCTCCTTTGTGCAGGTGAGAGTGAGGCTCTCATAACGCTGCTTGAGCATATCAGAAAAAAAAAAGAGACCCTCTTTTTGGAATGGAAAATAATGTTAGCGTTTTATGGGCTTTTTGCGGGTGCGATGACCACAATATTTGTCTTTACCGCTGATCGTGACAATGTTGCCATTCTATCGTATGCTTACTTTTTATGTCAGGATTGACAATACCTGCACCACCTGGAAGCTGGGAAACGTGACCTGCCTCATAAATGAACATCTAATTCCACTCTGTGATCTTTGGTCCACTTTTTACATCCACCTGAAGTGTTCACCTCGCATGTGTCATTTCAGGCTGAGATTGAAATTCCACAACATGGAAAACGAATATGTCTTCAAGAGTTATCTGATGTCCTATGCACCCTCCAGATGATCGCTTTCATGACTAAAATGACAGAGAATCTCGCTTTCACATGCTCTCACCAGACAGTGCATGTTGGTGACACAATATAATGAGATACGACGTCACAATTCTGATCTGTTCTACATTGATTTCACAATAGGTTTATTATTCTGGTTGTAGTCTGCTGCGGTGTGCGCCACTTGACACCGAGAACATTCAGTTTTTGCCTCGAAGCTCCAATTAAACAAAAATAAACACTTTTCCGTGTGATGGAGTGCGGTTCCACGCTACTGTAAACTACAACCACAAAAATAAATGTGTTGTTTAAATGAATACCTCTCTGACAAACAGTGTCACTCAAAACGGAGCGTTCTTTTCTTTGTCAGAGGCACAATTTCTGCTCCAACTCTCGTTGCGGAACTGGAATAATCATCAGCTTGATGTGGCTCGTGATAAGATGGCATTTGTGCACAACCTATTGGACGATCACTGGCTGACCTTTTTGCTTCGCCTGCCCCCTTTCAGGGGTCGTCCCGGTGGCAGCAAAGTGCGACACAAGCGTCAGGCCCTGCAAGATATGGCGCGGCCGCTCAAGCAATGGCTGTACAAGCACCGGGACAACCCTTACCCCACTAAGACGGAGAAGATTCTGCTGGCTTTGGGTTCACAGATGACCCTGGTGCAGGTGGGTCTGTGACTTTGTCACTGAGGACAGTGTTGCACTCATAAGCCACTTGAAGTCAATTGAGCATAAACAGTGTGACATCTAACGGTCCTTCTTCCTCAAGGGGCTCAAGTGTCTTTTTTTTTTTTTTTTTCGCTGCTTGAGGTCAGCGTTGGAACTATGTGTTGTTGAAACGATGCCAAGCGAATCCAGAATAAAGATAGAGGACATCCATCTCCGTCAACATTTGTCAATAATAGATGATTTTTATTGGCTGTCCAGCATGTGGAGGGTGTTAGGTGCAGAAAATCTGAGATGAAACTGTCTGGAATTCCTTTTAGTAACTGGACTGTTTTGGTCTGTCGAGTCTGAGCAGACGTTTTGATTGTCCCACCGTGGATGGGGATATGTTGAAGAGTCAAAACAGTAACGTTGTTTTTCCGGACTCTCCTTTTCCTTTCTTTGTCAGGTTTCCAATTGGTTCGCCAATGCCAGGAGGCGGCTGAAGAACACGGTGAGGCAGCCCGACCTGAGCTGGGCCCTTCGGATCAAGCTTTATAACAAGTATGTTCAAGGCAATGCTGAGAGACTGAGCGTCAGCAGCGATGACAGCTGCTCCGATGGTACGTTTCAAATATGATATATCATCCTGCACGGTAGACTTTTTGATGGTCTTTTGACATCTTTTTATTGTCTGTATTCAAATTACAATTGAGTATTTTTTTTTTTAAAGTTTAGTAAGGTCTTGGAAGTTAAACAAGCATTTGCGGGAGACTGTTCAACAGTTAGTTTAGTTTGGATCTTGAATTGAATTTTATCAGGACAGTGGTAGGTCTACATTTGCCGAGCTTTCAGCACGTCCACCTTTTCATCAAAGGTTCTTTCTGGGGTTTTAATCTCAATTTGAACCTTCCTACTTGTGTTTTTTTTTTTCTTCTGTCACTTTATTTTCCTCATTCCACATTCCAAAATGTTAAAAAAAAGACTCAAAATGTTCCATAGGTGTGAAAGTGAGTGTGGATGTTATGTGTTATCTATTGACTGATGAGCAGTGCAGGGTGAAAAGTAGTTCAAAATGGCCGGACGGATTGCTGAGTTACATTAGTCCTTTGCATTAGCGCTCACGCAGACTTCATTCTTGTTCAAATTTTGCATCACATTGTATTTCCCTGAAAATACAGGCCTACAAATGACTGCTGATTGATAACCAAAGTATTCCATTCCAGAGCTGAGCAGAGTTCAATTCTCCCAAGTCTACACCCCCTACATGGCTTGGGTTTCCAGTCCCAAATTGATCTAGTCTGTTCATATAAAGCCAGTGTGAACCCCACGTGAACCCGCCGCTCTTCTTATATCATAACATTTCTTAGCCCTCGTCGTAAGCCTTTCAGGACATGGGAGAGGCAAGCACAAGGCCGAACGTTGTTCCGAGTACAGTATACGCCGTATAATGTATTCTACGGCAAGTGTGTGACCTAGCCGAGAGTCACGGAGGCTGGCCGGCTGCAACGCTGTTATTAAGACACCCCGCTGAGCCAACGTCTGTCGCCCAGTCTGCAATTGGGAATGACTGACTTTCTTTCAGCTATGTACTTACTGCAAACACTTACTGCTTCTCGAGGCAAGAATTGCTTCTTGCTGGCCACCGACAGGACAGAAAACATTGCGCGGGGAATAAATACATAAACAGAAACCATACAGCATATACTCGCACGGTGAGGGATTGAAACAGAGAGGAAGAGCGCTGCGGTGTGAGTAATCTTTAATTAGGTCCTTTGAGAGGCAGAGGCCAAGCGTGCGGCTGCAAAGGAATGCGCGCATGTTGTTTGCATTGTGTCCGCCACATGCCATTGTACCACCAGTGGCTCGCTATATCTCCCGGACTCTTCCCCCTGTCACATTATGGTTATGAAGTTTTCCGCAGCCTTATCCCACATTTGACCCATACACCGAAAGGCCCACCATTATTTTTAAAGTCTATGCTTTTGCTCCAGGGGCTATTTATGTGGAGACCCGTCCCCGCTGACCCGTTGACCGCTCTTATTTGTCAACTCCTCCGGCTTGTTTCGTAGCCACTATTGCGCACCCAAAGAAAATTTTTGAGATGTTTGAAGGTTTATTTAGAGAGGTGCCAGACTTGGATGCCGGCCATGTGATCATAACGGCAGATCAACATTGTTTGGACGGCCTTTAGAATAGAAGTGGACTTTGAGAATCTCTGCTCAGGCTGCGCAGTGAGCGGACAGCGAGTACCTTCATGGGCTGTAATCATAACTTGGCCTAGACGCCATCTAACCTGCCCAATCAACAAAAGGATCCAGAGTGGAGCTCTTGATTTCCCTCCTGATATCTGATTTTCCAGAACTTTTTTTTCTTTTTTTTATCTACTTCCCCTGCTTCTTTCATCAGGGTTCTCATTTAATTTGATTACCTTAGCAGTGCGCAGTGCCATGGATCGTACTGCAAGCTTTCTGCAGACGGAAATAGAGGGGCAATGTGTTTTAAATGGAGAGGAAACAATCTCCAATCCATTATGGATTGTTCTCACATTTCTCCGCTGCTTTATTCTCTTGAGTGGAATGCCAACGGAAATGAAACATAAGTTCATTTTTATTGAGCTGCGCTTTTCAGCGCTGCACAAGTGTGCGTGTACAGACTGCCCTTAACCAAAAAATGACGTGCAATTACATTTTAAAATAAAATACAGTATTAGTCACCCTCGTGGCATCGAAAAGTGTCATTAAAAATCATAAAGAACAACATATACAGTATTATGGCAATAATTACTAGTGACTTCATTGAGCCGAGACAAACATATTGCACTCTTTTGACTGACATCACAGTGGTATCCATCCAACTACGTGTCTGCAATTGTGACTCAAATTCTACATTTGACTTGTTTGAGTTTGCCACTTCAGTTTCTACATTTGTGTTTGTTCACATAGCTTCCTTATTGTGATGATGAGCCATCACAAATGGATCTACCGACTGTTTGTGTGCCTTATATTACAAATAAAATGTATTATTATTATTATATTTCCAGAATACATTCATAAATAGTGGACGTACCGTATAAAGCACGAGTATATGACTTCACCATGTTTGGAAAATTCCTAATGTCTTTGCATGATTTCCATGTATCAGATGGCAACAATCCTCAGAGGACCCAGAACACTGCCGTGGAGTTCACCAAACCCATGTACCAGAGTGTCATTAAGAAGGAAGGCTCGACCATGATGGGCATGGCCATGGGGATGGGAGCGGGCCTCCCCTCGGCCACCGAAGCCGCCTCGCTGGCCGATGACTACGTGTCGCCGCCCAAATACAAGAGCAGCCTGTTGCACCGCTATCTCAACGACTCACTGCGTCATGTCATGGTGGCCAACGCTGTCATGGATGCTCGCAAGAGGAACCACTCCGGCTCCTTCAGCTCCAACGAGTACGACGACGAGTTGCTCTCGCCGACCTCCTCGGAGGCAGAGGCGAACTTTGTTTATCGCGCTGGTAAGGAGCCACGTTTCTTGCATTCCTTCTCCGTCTTTCATTCCGTGTCCCCTCCATCTGCACGCTTTTGTTTTACTTTTTGCAGCTGCAGTGTTATTCATAAGCCTGTTGATCACACTCACTTCCCATCCCCGTTGTTGTATTTGACACGGCGCTTGTGTTGAGGAATGTGATTTTCTTAATGCAGTTATGAGTCCCAGTTGCACACATGTTCGCACATCGAAGCACACACTCTCAGCAGACAAGGAATTCCCTCCAGCCAGCTCCTCTGAGCAGGCTCTTAGCAAGCCAGACACAACAAGGCTATATGGAACATGCTCTCCCCTAAGACTACCGTTTGGCCTGCTTTTCATCCTTTCCACAAGGTCCTGTGGAGAGAGTAGACGAACGCATTTCTTCTTTAAAGCTCACACGCGGCGTTATTTTTAAAAACGGTGTTATCAACTATCCGGTGATCCTTTTCTAAATCTCTCTTCAATAAAGCCACGCTAGACTGAACTGCCACAAAAAAATATAAAAATAGTTATAATAATGATAATTGACCCTGACATTCTGGCCTTTGGACACGTATAATTGACACTGACTGTAAAAATCAACATGCTCTTCTTTGGACAGATTCTGATGAAATTTGTATTCAAACATGACTCCTGACCACCCATGGCTACCACATAGCTTTAGCTCACCGACTGCTCCCTTTAAATTATGAACCGGTCTCGTAGGGGCAAAATGGAGGAAAATAATAATTAAATAGCACTGCATATTGGCTCCAAGAAAGGCCAGCCCACCAGTCATCTGACCTGTACGCCAGATGGCCAGTCCAGCCCTGGACATGATTTCCGCCAACCGAACTAAATATAAAAACGTATCGTATCCAAACAGACTTCTAATAATTCTTGATAATTACAATCCTCCCCTGTGATTGACTGGCAATAAATCCAGCGTGTCGTCTGCTTTTCCTCCAAAGTCATCTGGCGTAAATTGAGCGCACAGTTGCCCTGGACAGCGGTATAGAAAGTTGTTAAATGGATGTAATAGAGCTTGCTTGCACAAAAAGTCACAAATGATCAAGGAAAGGTCATTATATGTCAGGAATCCAAATCTTTAATCGTCCAGTAGTATTATGAGTGTCCCATAAAATGTTGTTCAATATTGTTCTACAGATTGGAAAACAATCTAGCGGCCAAGACAAAGCTTCATATTGCCCGGTTTGTTATTTTATTGGCGAGAAGAATGAAGTGAACAGTAATCCTCCCTATTCATAAGCCATCCACGTACTTAATTTTGAAAACGTATGAAAAAATAAATGTGAGAAGATAATGTTTAACAGTGTAACCGTAGATCACAAACACAGCTCAGAGAACATTGCAAATGAGCTATTCTGGCTTTTAAGACTTCCTCCCACATCCCAAAAACATGAATTGTTTTTGTAATCTGGGACTCCACCGGTGTGAATATGCATGGTTGTATATATCAGGATATCAGCTGAGATGTGCGATATGAAGCAGGATAGAGAATTGATGCATGGATCATGGAGGGTGAAGTAAGACATTATTTGAATGCAACACTTTGCATTTGTTAGCGATGCCAACTAGATACAGTCTACAAAAGTATTTTGAATTCAGCAATGTCATTTCGCAGACGTTTCACACTGTGGCTCATCCAAACTGTGAAGGCCACATCTGTGCTGGTTCTTCTTCTTCAAACATCGAGCCCTTTTTTTTAATTTAGTCTTTGTAACCAAGTCTTTTTTTTTTTTTTTTACATTGTGGTTAACATGGACACGTTCTGCAGCAGTGAATGGATCTTAGAAGCTTGTTTTGTTCAAAATTCCTCACATGGACAAATGTGGTTTTTATTATAGGAGCAAGGGGCTGTGTGTGTGTGTGTGTGTGAGAGAGAGAGAGAAAAATAGGAATGAAGACAAAGTGTGGCTTGAATTTAAATGGTGGAAGGAATGTGATTTTCTTAATGCAGTTATGAGTCCCAGTTGCACACATGTTCGCACATCGAAGCACACACTCTCAGCAGACAAGGAATTCCCTCCAGCCAGCTCCTCTGAGCAGGCTCTTAGCAAGCCAGACACAACAAGGCTATATGGAACATGCTCTCCCCTAAGACTACCGTTTGGCCTGCTTTTCATCCTTTCCACAAGGTCCTGTGGAGAGAGTAGACGAACGCATTTCTTCTTTAAAGCTCACACGCGGCGTTATTTTTAAAAACGGTGTTATCAACTATCCGGTGATCCTTTTCTAAATCTCTCTTCAATAAAGCCACGCTAGACTGAACTGCCACAAAAAAATATAAAAATAGTTATAATAATGATAATTGACCCTGACATTCTGGCCTTTGGACACGTATAATTGACACTGACTGTAAAAATCAACATGCTCTTCTTTGGACAGATTCTGATGAAATTTGTATTCAAACATGACTCCTGACCACCCATGGCTACCACATAGCTTTAGCTCACCGACTGCTCCCTTTAAATTATGAACCGGTCTCGTAGGGGCAAAATGGAGGAAAATAATAATTAAATAGCACTGCATATTGGCTCCAAGAAAGGCCAGCCCACCAGTCATCTGACCTGTACGCCAGATGGCCAGTCCAGCCCTGGACATGATTTCCGCCAACCGAACTAAATATAAAAACGTATCGTATCCAAACAGACTTCTAATAATTCTTGATAATTACAATCCTCCCCTGTGATTGACTGGCAATAAATCCAGCGTGTCGTCTGCTTTTCCTCCAAAGTCATCTGGCGTAAATTGAGCGCACAGTTGCCCTGGACAGCGGTATAGAAAGTTGTTAAATGGATGTAATAGAGCTTGCTTGCACAAAAAGTCACAAATGATCAAGGAAAGGTCATTATATGTCAGGAATCCAAATCTTTAATCGTCCAGTAGTATTATGAGTGTCCCATAAAATGTTGTTCAATATTGTTCTACAGATTGGAAAACAATCTAGCGGCCAAGACAAAGCTTCATATTGCCCGGTTTGTTATTTTATTGGCGAGAAGAATGAAGTGAACAGTAATCCTCCCTATTCATAAGCCATCCACGTACTTAATTTTGAAAACGTATGAAAAAATAAATGTGAGAAGATAATGTTTAACAGTGTAACCGTAGATCACAAACACAGCTCAGAGAACATTGCAAATGAGCTATTCTGGCTTTTAAGACTTCCTCCCACATCCCAAAAACATGAATTGTTTTTGTAATCTGGGACTCCACCGGTGTGAATATGCATGGTTGTATATATCAGGATATCAGCTGAGATGTGCGATATGAAGCAGGATAGAGAATTGATGCATGGATCATGGAGGGTGAAGTAAGACATTATTTGAATGCAACACTTTGCATTTGTTAGCGATGCCAACTAGATACAGTCTACAAAAGTATTTTGAATTCAGCAATGTCATTTCGCAGACGTTTCACACTGTGGCTCATCCAAACTGTGAAGGCCACATCTGTGCTGGTTCTTCTTCTTCAAACATCGAGCCCTTTTTTTTAATTACGTCTTTGTAACCAAGTTTTTTTTTTTTTTTTTTTACATTGTGGTTAACATGGACACGTTCTGCAGCAGTGAATGGATCTTAGAAGCTTGTTTTGTTCAAAATTCCTCACATGGACAAATGTGGTTTTTATTATAGGAGCAAGGGGCTGTGTGTGTGTGTGTGTGTGAAAGATAGGGAGAAAAATAGGAATGAAGACAAAGTGTGGCTTGAATTTAAATGGTGGAATCCAATTCAAGGACAACTGTATCGAACTGTCTGAATGTTTTTAATAGTGAGTAGCTTCTTCATATTAATGTTTAATGTGATATGTTGGCCTTGGTACAAATAATCAAAAAAGCTTTTACTTTACACATGGAAAGTTGTCTGAGGACAAGTGACTCCTCTGATCCGAGCACGCGCTTCAGAAAATCTGATTTTGCTTATTTCCAAATATTAGAGTCTCTCGCATGCCTGCCTTCATATCAAGTGTGACATGTCAATTTGTGAACGGAGCTCTGAGAATGTGTCTGTTCAAATTTTGATCAGACCTCAAATTTGAAGTAACCACCAGTCTATGGGAAACCCCTATCACTTATAAAAGGTAAGCAGAGCTGCACACCAGGGTGAGCAGTGGCTCATACATACTGCAGAATAGGCTGAAGACTGTTAAAACAAGGTTTTAAAAAAAGTGCAGTTTATCTTGATCCTTGGAAGATTTTGACCAAAGCTTGTCACACACTCGAGCATTTTTTGACATATGAGAGCAGATTTTTTTTGGGGGGTGGCCTATTATGTCTCCTTTGAATGAATGTGTTGGCAGTTAATCTCAATGAAACAGGAAGTTTAGATTTTCTGAATTTTCTTGTCTGACTTGAATTTCATTTTCCCAAGTTAAATAAACACACGGCATTTTGCATGGCAATGCGTCGTCCATTTTCAGTCGGGCAGGGACACAAAAGTAGAGGACAAAAACACATTGCGTTTCTTTAGGCACATTCTTTTGAGGAATTCCTGCTGACATATTAGTTGTGATTGGTTGAGGCAGAAGTGGAACCCCTGGCAACCATCACGCCATTGGCTAAAAAACAAGCTAGTGAGCAGGGTGCAAGCTTGCCAGCAGCAACTCCGCGTATAGACCCATATATATATATATATATATATATATATCATACATTAATGATGTCGTGAACCCACGGTGTTATCTCTGACTACAGAGGGCAGTCAGACGTGGCAGGAGATGGAGGGTGTAGATTTACTTCGATGGAAAACTAAACTTCTGCCAGCTTAAAATGACTTGCGCGTGCGCGCACACACACACAACACACACACCTACCATTCACAAGCTTGACACACAATGTCCAGTACAAACACACACACCTAGAGTCCAAAGCCTTTGGGGAATTTCATTGAAGGCAAGGAACAGTAGAATTCCATCGCACATGCCAGGCATTGATGCCAAATGACCCTTTAATGGGATATTAAATGGCAGGAATCTGGCTGAATGTTT